GTGGACACTGCACCACTCATCAAATTCTCAATTTGGTGGAATTTGTTTCGCAAGCCTTTACTAAGAAAAACGGGGTTGCTGCATGCTATCTCGACTTCGAAAAGGCCTTTGATAGAGTGTGGCATGCAGGCCTCCTGCATAAATTGAATAATTTTATGCTTCCAAACAGTTTCGTAAAACTCATTAGTTCCTATCTGAAAAATAGGACTTTTCAAGTTCGCTGCGGTGACGCCTTATCTGTCAGAAAAAAACAATTCATAGGGGGTCCCGCAAGGGTCCGTTCTTTCCCCCCGGCTCTATAATGTTTTTATCAATGATTTCCCGCACCCATTCAACACGAAAATACTCAAATACGCTAACGACACTGTAGTACTGACTGAATCCAGGCATGCAGGCCTCCTGCATAAATTGAATAATTTTATGCTTCCAAACAGTTTCGTAAAACTCATTAGTTCCTATCTGAAAAATAGGACTTTTCAAGTTCGCTGCGGTGACGCCTTATCTGTCAGAAAAAAACAATTCATAGGGGGTCCCGCAAGGGTCCGTTCTTTCCCCCCGGCTCTATAATGTTTTTATCAATGATTTCCCGCACCCATTCAACACGAAAATACTCAAATACGCTAACGACACTGTAGTACTGACTGAATCCAGATGTCCCCAGCTCGCTCTAAGTAATTTACAAATGCATCTCCATATGATTAATCACTGGTGCAAGACTTGGAAAATTAAGCTCAACGCCTCTAAATGTTGTATTGTTCTCTATCGGAGATTCAAAACAAGATTAAAAGTCAATACTGATATCTACTTAGATAGAACTCTAATCCCTGTAGCTAATTCCTTTAAATATTTAGGTGTTTACATAGATAAGTCTCTCAACTTCAAAGATCATATTTCTTATATCTTAAACAAAGCAAATGCAGCCTACATGGCAATTTATCCTATTATCGGCAAAAAATCAAAGCTCAGTCTAAAAATAAAGAATATGCTTTACATATCTATAATTCGACCGATCATGCTATATGCAGTGCCGGCCTGGGCAATCGCCAGTAAAACTGAGCGCAAAAAACTGGACATACTTCAAAATAAAATTCTACGTAGCACCTTGGTACGTGAGAAACTCTATAATTCATAAAGATCTGGATATTCCATCTGTGCATAACTTTATACACATGACAGCTCACAACTTCTTCGAGAAGATGAAGCATAGTCAGTATAATGCAATTAAACAAATGTTGGATTATGATCCAACCATTGAATACCCTGTCAAATGCTCAAGGACAATTCATCACAATTCGTCATGGTGTAAGGATTCTAAGTTTTACTAACGTTTGTTTTATTTTAAATCTTTACTATCACTTCTTATTTTCTACTTCCGGCCAGAATTAAAAGCTTTTACTTATTTATGCAAATTTGTCTTGCTAACGCCAAGTACTTAAGTTGTGGCTTTTTGCCAAGCAAGAGAGAGGAAGGAGTTATTAGAAGCAGGCCGCTTGCCATAGTAGTTTTACTCGGTTGCTGGTTGCCTTCAAGGCCAGAGGTTTAATCCTCCTGCTAATATTAAACGTATCGTAGTTTTAGCAGCTCTCTGTACTACATACGGCTTTTTGTAATTTGGCCAATCTTAAAGTAGGCACTTGTATATCAATCCAAAGTTAGTTAGAGTTTTAGTTAATATTTTTATATTCTTACGTTCAAATCAAAAGTGGTTGGTCTCTGTATTCTGAAGTCCGGAAATCTCTGTAAAGATAGAAAAATAAAGGGTTTCGTATACACTTCCTGTGTGTATTGTCTACTTCACAATTTATTGAACATAGCTTTAGTAAGCTCCCTGTTCCGAGTCAGGACAGTTAATGTTTCCAAAGCAAGTAAAGAGGAACACAAATCCCGATAATGGTAGTAACTTGTAAATTTTTAATTTTAAAAATTTACTTGAACTCTGAAATTGGACTCTGTCTTATTATTTGTGTTGCATCTTATGTTAATCAAGAAAGTTTTTTTATTGAAGATTTTTATGTTACTATTTCATTTTTTTAATTATTTTGTATGAATTTTTACTTTATCGTATGATTCTACGAACTTTTGAACTTTTTACGGCCTATCTAGCTACTGCATACTGAAAGACTTTGAACTCTTATGCCATTCATAGCTTCAAACTGTCTTCGCGCCATTTTCATGATGTCTCACTACTGCTTATCCTACACTCTTACTAGCTATATTGCACTCACCATCTGCATTTGCCATTCATTTCACTGCATCTGCCTGCATGCTTCAACTTAATGCCATTGCTTATCACTGCACAATTTTTTATGATGGACACCTACTTTCGTAAGTATTAAGATATGCCTGCTCACGCAACTGAATTTTCTTCGCCCACGGGTGTTGGTACTTCCCTAGTACCATTTATTGAAAATATCTTTGCCTAGTGCACTTTAATGCGATCTACTCGCGAAAACTCTTTAGTAGTTAATGACCAGAAAAACGTAAGTCATAAGGAAGCTGAATAAGTAATGAGAAGAATAAGTTAAATCACCAGCCTACCGCACTTGCAAAAGATGAAATGTTTGACGTTAGAATAGAATTTGTAGTGCTAAGGTTTTCTTCAGAAGATGCGTGTGGTACTAGAATGATATGAGGAAACTTGTAGGCGTAGCTGTACGCGAATAAGATAGCAGACACGCTATGTCGTTTTCAGGACAAGCGTAACGGTGGTAAGTAAAGATAAAGGAGGATTTTACCTATCATGGATAAGTGTAAGAGAGTTGTAGAAAATGAATATCTAATATTAAAATGAATGTTTTGTAGACAATTCAATATGCTATAGTGATATGAAATGCATTACTGTGCTCATTTACTATAAATATGTCTTTTCCTTCCAGATTCAAATGGAAGAATGAATTATGCAAGATCTTAATTAAGTTTTAATTTGTTTAAATAAGCGAATTTAATGTAAAGAGGCTACAAAACTTAGGATAGTGTATGAGTTAATCGCTTTTTATAAAGTTCGTTTGAGAAAATTATTCTAAGCTCTTCATCCGGAAGGGGAAGTGCAGGCCTTATGTTTTAGAATGAAATGTTATTTAATTTACTTATTTCTTTTCTGTCTCTGTTCGCCACAAGGTTCGCTAATTCCAGAACTTATGTAGATTTGAGTGGCAGGTAGTTTTATTATAAAGCAGTGATTTTCAACCATTTTTACCCCGTGCACCTCTTTCACCATTGCTAGACGATCATACCCCCTTTCCTTTCCCTTCCCAAACTCGAAAAATACGTATATGTTTATTTAAACTTCAATTATTTCCCAATGTGTTTTCTAAATGAAGCGAGAAAAAACATTGAAAATGTTGACAAATACTAAAACTTGACTATCAGTAGTTATATATATATATATATTCATAAGCTAAAACTAAGGCATCCCCAGAAGAAACTACGAAATCTCCCCTAGAAGGAATTCAGCCCTGGTTGAGAACACCTGCTACAAAGTTTAGAGATTTATGAAGAGGTATATGAAGGGCTGCAGGTCCATTCGTGCTGGTGTTTATCTGTGCTAATGGAAGTCAGTTCCTCTGTCAATTAGCTCCCTACGCTCGAAGTTCAGATTCTCAACTCGCTCCGCTATGAGAAAAACTGGCCGGATACGCCAAATACGCCAGATGTCTCTCTTACCTCAGAACTTGAGCCCCAGTGTGAACTTGAGTTTGACCTGCAGTCTGCTGCCTTGCGGATTAAAACAGTTTGTTAGCGATGCTAATACTGGTTTCGCTGTAAGTATCGTGGTAAGTATGTGTTTGAATTTCTGTCGGAATCTAGGAAAAACTTGAATAGATTAGATTAAAATTGCTTAATTGATAGAAATTGTGAACAAACAGCTAGTGTTGAAACCACGTCCAGGTTGGCTGATAATTTTATGTTTGCATATTTTAATTTACTCACAAGTGGTAAGTTAGAATAAGCTTGAAGTGTCTTAATTCTGTGTCTGTTTATTTGACGGTTAGGTATTCTGGGGTAATAATTCACTGCAGATCATATGTAACAACTTTACTTTTACGGTAATTGGCATAGCTTAGATGAATAAAATTAATAAATAGAGTAATTGGCATAGCTTAGATAGCCCACAGAAGGTGTTACAACATTGCAAAGCATAAGATAGGTTGACTGATGAACTCAGTTTGTTTCATTCTGCTTGAAGATAACAAGAACAAATTTTTCAAATTTTTTTAGTTTTACGTTTGATTATAAGAAAATTTAAAATTAGTAATAAAAGTCATGAAAAGAAAGAGTTTACTTAAAAGTTGCTCTTTCTTAAAATTTAAATTATTCTATCAAACTGATAAGTATGCGGGAAAATATAAAGTACACGAAATGTGAGTGCAGAGCAATAATTCCTAGATTTTTTATGATTATTATCCAGCTTTTAAAACGGAATTTATTGCGATGCGATGTACATGTATGTACTAATTGCTCTAGGGGGAACGACGAAAAGAAATATCTAGAACAAAACAACATAGCAATGAAATAAAAATAAATCAATTAGTTCGATTATTAACTATTTATATGTAACTTTTGTGACTGTCGACAGTTGTCTCCTAACCCAATATAGATTTCGGGAAGCACTAAAAAGCGTACAATTATATGACGTACCAAAGAGCTAGATTTCTGAAACAAAAAAGGCATCTACGGCGTAAATTACAGGTTTAAGACAAAAAAACATCTTTATTATTATTTTTTTCAAATAAGAAAGAAAGTATATAATTTAAATGTTTCCGTAGTCATTTTGCATATTGTTAAAAAAGAAGAAGAAAGAAAAAGAGAGAGAGAAAAGAAAAAGAAATGAAAAAAAAATATTTAAGAAGACGGTGTTTAGAAATTTCAGTTCTTGAAATCAAATAAAATAAAAGCTTACAATAACACAAAGAAAGCTTGATTTCTCTTAGTGAAAATGAAGCCGTTTCTTCACAATAAGCTGATTAGTTAAGAAACAGTGTAAGGTTAAAAGTACATACGTCTGACTGCTAACCATAATGCATTACTCTGTCCTGTTCCTTCACTATTGCTGGCTCTGCACCTGTAACTTCCTTTATGCCAAGCTTCCAAACGCTCCAGAACTAGAGTCTGCGATCCATTTACTGGATAATGCTCTTGGTGAGGACCCGCAGAAGATTCTTTTGCAAACGACCATTCAACAAAGCTTGTTGGAGGGTTAGCTGTTACTTTACACATCAAAGCCACGGTATCTCCTTCAGAAATTGAGCTGGTGGAGTAAGTTTTCAATGATAGAGATACTTTGGGTGCAACTGAAGAGAAAGGAATGTTCAGAATCGTAAGAAAAAATAAGGAATAACACAGTTATGGCAAATCATTATTAATAAGAGAATAACGACCTATTATGTTTAAACTTTAAATAACATTAAAAACACAGTGATTCTTCAGCTTTTTAAGACGTACTTAAATTAAAAATCTGATGTGTACACCAGATGACTTCCTTGTATTGGAATATTAAATTATACGCATTTTTTCTTGCCTTTCATTTAAACTTATTGGATTGAATTAAATCTACTTCGCCGACAGCACATAACCCCAATAGAATAAATGCATTCTTTAAAATTCACTCTAGTATTTGGTTTACCATAGCGACACTCTGGCGCTAGATTCACTTAACAGTATTAAAATTATATAACAGTTAACTTATAAATAATTTTATAACGGAAACTAAGTTAACTGTTATATAATCCAATAATTATATAACATTTAACTTATATATTTCGTTCATATTATAACTCATAATGCACAAAATTTATATCATTTAAAGAATGGAATTATCTAATCGTTGCCACATATTCCATTCAAAATACTATAATAAAGCTAGAATGATGTATAAAAGAAATTAAGCAAACAAACAAAAAAGAAACAGTTGTTCCACAGACGATTGAGTACTTCTCCTTTAATTAATTCAGTTCTCACTTCGCGAGAGGGAAAAATATACATAAAAACTCAAATATCTATATTAAAAATACGAAGTAAATCTTAAACGCTTATTTCCTCGAAAAAATTCCAGAAAAGGATTAAGCATGATTAAATAATAAATAATTATCTTTGTTGGCTTATCTTTGTTGTTGCGAAGCTAAGTTTCTCTAGATTGGCAACAAAATCCACTAGTCTCCTGTTTCAATGTAAACATCAATGGCCGCCATTAAAAAAGGCTTAGCAGCAATTAAACAACTTCAAAATTGTGAATTCTAAAAATTGCCACAGATTATAAAGGCATAAAATCCTTTAACAGGAGATAAAAACAACATAATGTCAATCATTTTAAAGCAAAAATGTTACAATTACCCACATATCAGAGTAAAGGAACCTGAGATCATGAGCCGGGTACAGAGGGATATACAATAAATAATTTACGTTTGGGGGGCCGATAGCAACAAAAATAAGGGGGCACATCTACATGTTATAGCAGTTCCTATACAAAAATTTCAACGTTCAAGAGGACTCGTTTTGAGGTATGCGAGATACGTAGTACGCACGAAAAATTCTCTTCCAGAATAATTTTAAAGCGTTTTATAATTTTTTTGAAGGAAAAGAGTATTTTATTCTGCCTTACGTACAAAACATCAACGAAAACACATCGTTAAAATTGCATTCGATAGCGGTCAAAATGGATATTTTCGTTGGAAATATCTCCTGACAAACTTTTCGCGATTACAATACTTTCTTTTTACTTCGTACAAGGAAATAAAAATAAGTCTCTTAATAATTCTAGTTATGGAATATTAAATTATTTCACAAGGAATAAAATTCATGGCCTTTTATATCCTTTCTGTTTTCATACATTAAGTCAATAGTTAGAACTCAGCAGACATTTTGATTCTTTGTACGTAATTAAACAGACACTCTCAGAACTACACTAATAACTCAGGAAACGTCTAGAATAATCAAATATTACTAAAATATGTAAATATGTAAGCAAATGAAGTAATATAAACTATTTAAGCCCACTGACATTTTGCACTAAAATTTCATTCAATATTTTTAACAAAATTATCACTTTTTCCAGGTTGCCTAATCACTTGAAAATTATTTAACCAAATAAAAATTTTGCCAGAAAAGATAACCAAACAGAAATAAAAAAATTTTCTTTTCCTTTTGTTTAAGATATGTAAGATAAATGTGAAATGAACTAGAAATATTTGATTACATCAGAAATTTTGACTCTGATACGCTTTTATTTTATTGACAGCATTGGAAATCAAGCAAAACCTCCTTTACTTGCTCTTTCATTTCCACTGATGCTCAAACTCAGCTTTTGAAGGATGATTTATTATAATGCATGGTATGAGTAACAATAAACTTACATTATCATAAAAAGACTAAGTGCTGCATCGGAAAAATGTATGATTGCGTTATCATGGTATGATAGGGTAATGGAAAATTCTGAAATCCTGATAATCGATGAAAGCGTATTGGGAAGTATTGTTATTCTTAGGTTTGGTATTGTACAAACCTAAGTGAAGGTTAATCTTTGATAAGCGTTGTAGTTTTAAAAGGGAAAATTTAAAAGGGAAATTCAACATTATCACCATAATGTTGTTGTTATTCTTATTCTCAAGTATGGCACATAATATGCAAGTGAAGGGGAGCGTTGTAGTCTTATACTACTCCCTTATATTCATATCTTGGGATTTTCAGTTCCCTTTTAACCCATTCCTTTTTCACATACTGTTGCTCTGTATTCAAGTTTTCATGTATGTAGAATTTAGATATTTTGTATTGTATTTATGCCAATTTATATTAAAATGATAATTTTTATAAATTCTTGCATCATAACTCTAATCAATAGAATGTGTTTCTAACACCTTGTATCTTAATCTTCAGCATGCAGCTTATTTTCCAATCTAGTTTCAGGCTGAACTATTTGTAAAATTAATTATTTGAAATTATTTGCAAACAAAGATGGTCGCTAAATCACGCTAATAATATTTCTAACTGGTGTAATTTATGATGCAACGAGTTCGTGTGATTTATAATATTATTCATTTATAATTTTTCAGCAGTTTGAAATTAATGCATATATGATAATATTATACATTTATTATAATTTTTAGATTTCCATTGCCTTCTTCATTGATGCTTTTATACTACATTCCTAATATTTCATAATGGCATACTTATCTATGTTTAACTCATTACCAAACATGTTAATCTATAATTCAGCCCACTTTTGTTTTTACATGTACTGTATCTTCCACTTTCTTTAATATATTGTTCAGCGTAATTTTGAAAGATCTTACGATCAAGCGGAAAAGTCACTAAACATTGGTAGTTCGTTCCGAGTTTCTAATCCCAGAGATCCTCCAGCTTTTTCTTTTTTCTTTCTTTTCTTTTCTTTTTTTTTTTTTTTTTTTTGTACGTATTTACTGTGTAAAAATGTAGCGTAACTTAAAATTCAGTTCATGAAGTAAAAATACTTAAATACTTTTTTAATTTATTCTTTAAAAAACTCCAAAAATGTTCACCTTAGTATATCTCTTTAAAAATCCCTTTAATAAGAAATAATAAGGAAAGAAATTAACTCGGTTTCTGTGATTGATACCTATGTGCAAATTATATGTAACATTTTTCCAAAAGCATAGAGTTTATATGGATATCAATAAATTAAGGGTTATTTCTCCATCTAATTTTCTTAGCATGTTTATTCCAGAATTTTCCTTTTACACTGTAGCGCTTTATGAGTTTTCTATAATCATTCAATTTCTCTAGCTATGGCAACTATGCATACCTTCTGAGTAGTCATATTTTTAACCACTGTATTTTAATTCCTGTAGACTATCATTACATTATTTAGTAACCAAGTAGTCATATTTTTAACCACTGTATTTTAATTCCTGTTGACTATCAGCACATTATTCACTTGTTTCACAAGTGCAACTTTTATTTTATACACAAATCCATGTAAAATACCAATAAAACTTCAGTTATGCGGAGCTCCTGATCGATTGTTTGTTTTAGATTAAATGAAATTAAGCTTAATGTTGCTGTTAATTAGCTTCTTATTAATTTAATTATACGTTTCTAATTAATTATATGTTCAGATATTTCCAAGTATATTACACAAACTTTTGCATCCCAGTTTTTAATTTTTCGTTAAAAAATAAGCTTTTATTTATTGAGAGGCTTGATTGATTATATTAATTTGCAGTACTGTTTATCTAATTCTTTTCTTCCAGATAAATTTTAGAAAACTCTTCTTATCATAATAATTTAAATTTATTTAAGATATATAAAACAGTGTTCCAAATGTATAGCAATATTGTTATAATAGATCTCATGTTAAGTTTTCTTTTTTAATTTAACTATTAATTTCCGCAAACATTTACAGGATTACTTTAGTTAAGCAGCCTTTGCTGCATTTAAAGAAGAGATTAAAGCTGGTCAAGAATCAGTTAAAGAAGAGATGAACTTGGGCCAAGGATTCCTTAAAGACGAGATGAAAGCAGTTCAAGAAAGATTGAAAGAGGAAATGAAAAGAGAAACTACCTGCGTAATAGATAGTAAATTCGAGGCTATCGAAGACAAAATAGACGCTGTCGAAAATAAAGTCTAAAAAATTGAAGAAAACGTTTCTTCTGTAAAAGATAAAACTGAAGAAAGAGTTTCTTCTGTAAAAGGACATATAGAAGAGAGAGTTTCTGCCGTCGAACAACAAATTGATGACAGGGTTTCTACAGTCGCTAAAGAAGTTAATACCAAATTCGTAACGGCAGGGAGCATTTCTGATGATTTTAAATTTTTACCCATGCCTGCTCGTCCCGTTCTGAAACTATCTACATATGACGGGAAGACCTCCTGGCAAGTGATAAGACACAATTTTCTATCGTGGCGGATGCGAATGGATGAGATTCCAAAGCTAAGGCCTGTCATATCGCCACTTCTTTGAGAGCAGACGCAGCGGATATTCTTCAGACTCTTCCGGAAAACCAAAGGCTAGATTTGGAAGCTTTATCCGACGCATTCGAGCTGCGCTTTGGCGAGAAATGTATAAAAGATTCCAGCAAGCTTGAATTAAAATCCCGTCAACATAAGCCCACGGAAACACTGTCACGGATGTTGAAAGGCTGTCCCATCTCTCCTTCTCGGAGTGCCCAACAGAAACAAGGGAAATCCTGTCGCTGCAATATTTCATCGACGGCATTCGAGATCCTGCAATACAGAAAGCACTGCAATGACGCATGTCAAGAACGTAAAAGCGCTCTAGTGTACGCCATGAAATTCGAGACAGCCCAGAAGCAACTCGTAG